TTGAGATAATTAGAATTATGGGGACCTAGATTCAATTTTCATTGAGATCATCTTTGTAATATTTTCTATTTAAAAAAATAATAAAAAAAAGATAAAGAGATAAAAGCCATGTAAAGTGATAAGAGAGAGAAAGAAAAATATAAAAAATACTTCTTTTTTAAAAAAATTAAAATTCTAATATTTTGAATTTTTTTACAAATATTTGAATTTCAAAACCTTTATAAATTTTTCATTCAAACAATATTATTCAATTTAAAATATTTAAAATTATTTCAAAAAATAAATTACTTCTTTAAAATTCCTCATCCAAATAGAATTATTGATTACTAATCATTATTTAAAATTTAAATATAAAAGAATTTAATCACTATCTACATATAAATTAGATAGTATTATTGAATGAAAATCTCTTCTCCCAAAAAAAAATACTATTATAGAACGAAAACTTTTTTCTCTCTAGTAGAAATATATTTTAATATTGAAAATAATAAAAATATATTTAAACTAGTACCCTAATATGTGCATCGAACAAATACAAATTTAATAGTAAATTAAATATCTAAACATTCTTTAAAATATACATTTTATATTATTAGAAGATATTAAGTGGGGTGTATTGGTTTTAAGACTTCATAAGATTTTTAAAATTTTTTAAGTAAAAGGTTTTATTAGTATTCGATCAGGATTTTATGTCACTTAAAAATAATCTAGTGGTATTTGATCAATATGGATTTTCAAGATTCTTTAAAGAGTCCATTAAAATCTATTGGTAGTCATTTGAGACTTTTTTACAACTTAAAAACAATCCGGTATTCAAAAATATTGAGATTTTAAATGACTATTGTATTAGAGAGATTTTGAAGGATTTCTTAATAATATCTATAAATACCAAATTCATAAAACAATCTCATTCAAAATCATTAGATTTTGGATGATTGTTTGAAGTGACTTTTCAAGTACTTCAAGAATTTTCAAGTGAGTTTTTCATTTTTTTTCTATGCTCATGCCTTCTCTTTTTTTCTCTCGCTAATAATATTGCATTATTGCTCATATATAATATATTATACTACTGTTCTCATTTCATTCCCCTATTTGGTAAAACTTTTATACGTAAATGATAATGTCATTGACTTATTCTATTTTACTTTTCGTTCTCTTTAATTGACTTGCTCTATTTTGTTCTATTTAGTTGAGATTGTTCATCAATTATATAACACAGCAAACGCTTGAAATTAATTTTAACTTTTAAGTAGTAATTTTTTTAATAACACGCGTCAAGAAAAGAGAAAGGTGAAAGCTAAAATGGATATTATGATCTCTATAATCAACCGTAGATTTTCAAAACCTTATAATCAATTTAGATTTATTAGAACAATATATATATATATATATATATATAAAAGATGAATTTGAGTTAGGGTTTTTGTAAATAGAATGAGATAAGAATGGATCTTAATTAGGAGAAGAACCCTCTCAACTCAAAACTACGATCTCTCTTCCTCTCTTGAATTTGTTACTATTATCCTTCACCTTTTATGACTCAACAATTATTTTATTTCTTTTTTTTTTTACTATGAATTTTATTTTTTTATTTTTTATATTGGGAAATTAGGATTTTTTATATTTTAAAAAAGAAAATTTACATGACATTACAGTATCTTAGAATGCAATATTAAAAATATTTCTTCACGAGTGAATAATTGAAAGCAATTAAAATATAAAAAATTATTTTGTACCTGTAACAAATTTTAGATATTTTTTTTTTCTCCTAGTTGATGTTTGTAAATTTCTAAGATATTTTAAATGAATAAAAGTGTATGAAAGACAAACAAACTTTCACTCAAATACCAATATAAAATGAAGGGACATATTTAGTTATAAGAGAGTAGAGTAGTTGTCTCGCTATTTTTTTAATCATTTATAAATTTATAAATAAAATATTTTAATTCATAAATTATAAAAAGAAAATTGAAATGTTGTTTAGAATAATTTTTAGCATGTGCTGCATTACATAACTTTCTTCATAAAAAAATGTCATTTTGATGAATTTTCAATTGGAGTTGTGGACAAACCTTCATCTTCAACATTACCGGTTAATAAAAATCATAATTTTGAGCCTATTATTAAAACTCAAGAGTAAGAGTGAAAATATGCTAATGCTTAGAGGACTAGTATAACTATGAATATGTGAGTAAATGTTATTTAGAAGGACATGATATTACAGAGAATTATTATTAATATTATTTATCCAAAAATTACTATTTTTTTTATTATTTTTGTCTTTGACTGTTTTTAAGTTTGAATGTGTGAAAAAAAAATCTTGAACTCTTATCGTATGTAAAAAATCTACGAAATTTTGTAGAGTTCACAAAGTTCTACATAATCTATTAAAATCCTAACTTAAAAATCTTGCAAAATCTATTAAAATCCCGATTGAAAGTCTTGTGGAATCCTACAAAATCTTAAAAGACATGAAAATCCTGCAAAGTCTTTTAAAATTCACAAAAAGAAAGTCATTTAAAATGCTAATTCAATTCACCCCTAAATTAATTTTTTTTAGGATTTCAAATATCTTTGAACCGATTTATGCTTTTGAGATGCATTTCCTCACTCTATAGAGAATTTATACGCAGGGGTGAAAAAGAGTTTTTGAATCAACAACAAATCTAATAATATGAACAAATCACTATAAGAAAATTGTCGTATAGTGACACACATCGTATAGTGACACATATCGTGTCACTAAAAATTAATTTTACCTACACAATAAATATAATATATGTTAGTATATTGTTAAAAAAATGTGAGTATAAGATATAGTGACACACAAAATATGTTATTAAATCTTGTTTAAAATCAACACTAAAATTATATATAACTATATGTCAAATAGATATATATCTACATATATTGTACTTATAGTGACATTTTTTATATATCACTATATGTAGCATTTCTCTATAATCCAAGAAAGAAAAATCAGGAGATTCAACTTTCATAGATTTTATATTGATTTAGCTCTTTAGCTTTAGATATTTGTAGATTTTTTTTCATCTTCTATTTTAGTGATTTTTAAAAAAATTAAAAATTGACCGAAATATACTCAACTCAGACCAACTTGAATTAGTTTACGTTGATTCAATTTAACTATACAAAATAAATATATGCGCTCAAATCAAATTAATCTGATTAATTTTAATTGATCTAAGAACATATTTTCAACAGACTAGAAGTAACCTAACATGAACTTATTATACAGATATTATTATAATATATTTCACCTATTGAATATTGATTAGAAATAAATATAAACTTTTTTTCTTATTTGTGAATTATTATTATAGTCAAAATATTACATAAAATGGAAAAGACATTAATTATTGAAATAATGCAAAATACTATTACAAATAAAAGTCAAAAGTGAGTCAACCGTAATAAATATGATAATTTTTTTTAATGAAAATATCATTAATGAAAGCAATAATAATGAGTCTATATAATTATGAATGGAAGTGTGACTTATATTCCAATTTGAAACCGGGTATAACTGTTGAATCCTGAAAACGTAATATTTGAGTAAATTTACTATTTACTTTTTTAATTACACCTGTTTTAATAGTCATTAAATAATCATATATATTAATAAACTGAAAATGGTGAATTTTTTTTCATAATTAACAGCTAAAGAATTTTACTTGCTGAATAGAAGAAATTTTGTACGGAAATTTGACTAAAATGCATAAACATTTAATTAATTTTTGAAAAAAATAAAAATTATTTTGAAAAGGATATTACAATAGCAAAAAAAATAAAATACAAGGAAAATGTGACGCCATCACCTTTTTCCTCCCAGCCTTCCCACAACACTTTTCTTTCTTAACTTTCCACTCCTATTTTAATTATTTAACTCTCATCGTTTCATTTTAAAGAAAACAACAATTATTACGAACCACACATTATTCAACCTAATATTTATATACAGCGTAATTTATACGCATAACTTACACTGGTTATCTTTAATTAAATTATTTACTATATTTAATTTTTTAGTATATATTTATAAGACATTTCAGAGGTTTATAACTCTGAGATCTAATTATCTTTATTTTTTTAAGTATGTTTTATAAGCTTAAAATCTTTTTCATTCTTTTTAATTTAAAAAATATTTTTGGTACATATTATTTTCTTATTCTCATTATCAAATAAATAAATATATATTTAATTATGTTTTTAGTCTCTCAGATTTAAGATAAATTTATTTTTAATCCTTCAAATTTAAAACTATTATTTTTAGTTCTTGTAATTTTTAAAAATCTTGTTTTAGTCTTTCAGATTACCAATAATATATCTAAAAATAGTAAATTAAGATAGTTATACAATATCAATTGAATTTAATGTGATATTTTTCACTAACAAGGATATTAATATATAGGTAAATTTTATACAATAATGTTTAATAAATTTCTTAACAAAATTTGAACATAAGGACTAAAATAATATTTTATTTAATTATAAAAATTAAAAATAATAATTTTAAATTTGAGAGATTAAAAAAAAATTAACTTAATTTAAAGAACTAAAAATATATTTAAATCATAAATATTTTTTTAATCAGCTAACTTTACATACAAATTTAATTTAACCAATCACTTATACGTTTTAACTTTTAAACTTTATAACTTAAAAATTCTCAACTAGTTTTGATTTACAAATTAACTTTACCACAAGCATCTTTTATCACTCTTTCTTTCGAAATGTATACATTTTTCTTAGATATTTAAGGAAAAACAGTTGTTTTAAAAACATATATGTATGTACGTACGTGGCAAGTTAAAAAAAATGAAAAAGAAAAAAAGAAGGTGAAAATGATAAACACGTATCGAACGTAGCACTTAGCATGCAAGTCGGAGCGAAAAAATAGGTCGCACCTCTAAATCTAATTACACATTTCACCCTCTCTTTCTCTTTTCTTTGTTTCTTTCCAAACAGCAATTAAGGTTTCGAACGCGAGCTTTGGCTTTGGCCTTGGCCCCACACACACTTTTATTTCTTCTTCTTCTATTCTTCTCCTCCTCCCTTAAAATCCACTGTCTTTGTCTGAACATCGAAACAAAGAGCAACGCAAAGAGAAGACAAAGGGCAGAAGGGCTTGTCCCCTTGCATCTCTCTGTCTCTTCTTCACCATTTTCTCTCCCTCATTCTCCTGAGAGGAGAGAGAACAAACGAGTCTCAGTCTGACCCATCTCTCATCTCGAACCAAAACACATATATTCATTCAGTCATTCTCGTACCACACACCAGACACACTCCCACCTAGGCCTGTGTTTTTGTTTGTGTTTGTGTGTGTGTGTTTGGAATTATGGCGAGAACGGTGTCCAACAACAGCAGCAACGATGAAAGAGTGGAGGATGGCGAGGTGAGAAGTCGCGTGAGGAAGGGGCCGTGGACCCCAGCGGAAGACGCGATTCTGACGGAGTATGTCAAGAAGCATGGCGAAGGGAATTGGAACTCCGTGCAGAAGAATTCTGGCTTGTTCAGGTGCGGCAAAAGTTGCAGACTCAGATGGGCCAATCATCTCAGGCCCAATTTGAAGAAAGGCGCCTTCTCTCCAGAGGAAGAACAAATCATCATCGACCTTCATGCCAAGCTCGGAAACAAATGGGCCCGAATGGCCGCACAGGTATATCACTTAACAATTTTTTTTTTTTTTTTTGTGGTGGGGGTGTATGCATGTTCATCTCATCATTTCTGCTTTTTAATGCAGTAGTTTTGGTTTCGGAAGTGAACCTTTTATCTGTGTTGTCCTGTGGCGTGGATCATTTTGGCTTCTAACCTCTTTTTTATTTTTATTTTTTATATATAGTTTTTTCATTTCCTGATTTGGATCTGGATTGAGATCTGCTAATTTTGATTTGATAGCTATCCATCCATGGCCTTGAACAACAAACAAAGGGGAAGGAGAAGGAGAATCCATTTCCTGCCCTTTGTGTTTATCTATTTCTTTTGGTTATATTCTTTTTGATACCTATTTTTATCTACCATTTTAGTTATGATTAATATATGTTAGAATTTGATTGATTATTTTTGGGAGGTGTTTCATTCCGATCATATATTTTTCATTCACGAAATTTTTATTTAAGGAGATCGGGTGCGGTAAGATTTTTCAAAGCTATGTTGGGTTGCATTTCTGCATGGTTTGGCTTCCATTTTGGTTGAAGGAGATCGAGTCGGAACCATTTTTTCTGATTTTATTAATAAAACATTAAATGCAGAAGTTTCTGTCATAAAAAAAAAAGAAGAGAAACTCGCTTTCTTACCTTTTGAACATCAATCCAGTCTCTTTTTGCCCCCTTTTCCCTTTTGGTTTTAATTAATTCTGGTTTTGTGCATATTGTCAGACTTTGGATTTTGTATGAGATGACCTCAGTCTTTTTGTCTGAATATATCATATTGGGATCTTTGTTTCTTCTTTCTTTCAACAATGTACTTCCACGAGGACCCACCTTAAAAGTTGTTTTTCGAGGCTGAAATATGCTCAACTTTATGCCTTTACGTGATTTGCTTCCTGTCGACTTGTTTCTCTCACCATCCTTAATGTGTTTCTGTTTTAGTTACCTGGTAGGACCGACAATGAAATCAAGAACTTTTGGAATACCAGAATGAAAAGGCGCCAGAGAGCAGGGTTACCCCTTTATCCTCCTGAAGTTCATGCAGAAGCCACTGCATACCATCGACAACAGCATCGCTACATAGAACAACAACCTCATTCATCGCCGTCTTTTTCTTTACTTCTATCTTCTTGTTACCCCAAGAAGCTCAATGATCCAAACCAAACCCATCATTCCAATGCGAACCTGCTTCAAAACCAGCCTGATGCTGCTAACTGTTACATCAATCCTAGCCAGCAGTTCAAGTTTTCCAATGAAAATAGTGGAAGCAATGGAAACCTTGCTTTGCCATTATCTCCTCTTTCTCCATTTGGATCATCCTCCTCCAACCTTCTCAATAACCAAAGTTTTGCTCCTCCTAGTGCTTCTGCTGCAACTGATTCACGTGATTACCAAAGCTATGGTGATCATGGTGGCTTCATGGCGGGGTCTCCGTATGAACCCTTTCCTTTGGTGCACGGCTCCACCACTGACATCTCTTCCAGCCAAACAGCAACCCCTGCTTCATCCTATGCTAGTGGTGTTGATGGCTTGATGGGGGCTTCAAGCATGATTAATAATAATAATGAGTGCTATGAAGTTGCACCATTGTCTCCTCAGGGAAACAGTGGCCTGTTGGATGCCCTGGTGATGGAAGCCAAAGGACTTTCTCACAATGACAAGTCAAAGAGTGAGGAGGGTTCAACTTTGGCTGGGAAGTCTTATAAGAGAAAAATCATGGACTATGCAGAGGAGGAGGGCACAATGTCAGCTATGAAGAAGAGCAGCAGTGGCAATGGCAACCCTACTAATAAAAGCCAGAGGGATGATGCTATTAGTTCCTCTCAATTGTCAAAAGGTGACACATTTTCACTAGTGTTTCATAAATTTGATTCATTTCTTTTACTATCACAATTTTATATATATATATATGCTGATTTAAGCTGTTAGTGAAGATTGTGTTGTGCTGTGAGATGTTTAAGTTGTATTGTTGCAAATGTTGAGTTGTGCCGTATGCTGTATGTTGTTATTGCTGCTATGCTGTGCTGTGTTGAATGCTTATATGAGCTGTTGTAGGCCGTAAGGCTGAGCTGTTGTAGGCCGTAAGGCTGAGCTGTTGTAGGAGATCTCTGAGCTGATATGTGATGTGTTGAATGATGATCTTGCTAAACTAGAATATGATGTGCTGATAAGTTGTAGTTGTTTATATTTTATGTATTTATATATACATATGCTGATTCCTTTCATTAGTTTACCCTTGTTGTTTCCATGTAGTTTGGACTGCAATGATCATACTATGTATGATAGCAGAGTAGGGATAGGTTGGTGTGTTGAGGCAAGTCTACAGCTGGCAGATGAAGTGGATAATTTTGATATTTTGTTGTTTTAAGCTACTTAGTGTAGCAATTTGGCTGTATTTTATACTTTGATTTTAGTTCCCAGGCTAGACATATGTATATATATATATATATATTCTATTTTGTGTGCAAAAAAATCCATCAGATTAACGAGAGTCACAATATTGTAAATGAGGTTAATCTTTTATCAATAATCCTATCACAAATATTTTCAACTTATTAAATTAGAAACTAATCTTATTCATAATATTGTGATTACTGTTTATTTAATGAAATTTTCTCACACAACATAGATTTAATATATATATATATATATATAATTTTTTAAATTTTATTTTTATTATTGACCAAAATTTATTGAAAGTTTTTTAGTTTCCTAAGTAGCCCTTTTTATTTAACAACTCTTACGCATAATTTTTAACAAAATTTAAGGTACGTATTAGAGAATGTATCTCAACACTCCTTATATTTGGTTTAAATATATTGAATATTATTTTTGTTTGTAGTCTTGTAAAATATTTTTTGGTTGTTAATTTTACGAGGTTTATTGTCACCTATTTTGATTTCCATCATAGATTTGTTCTTAGGAAAATGTTTTACATCCTTCTTAATGAATAATTTTGGCACCTATTTAATTATTTCTGAGTTGTCACATAAGAATATGTTAGTAATACAAGTAGTGTCTTTATTTATTAATTTTTAAAAAAATCATAATATTTTGTGAAACTCACATTTTATTTAATATTTATAATTTGATAGTTTTGAACAAATTTTAATGAATAAAAAGAAAACATGTTAAAAAGTGTGTTAGTATTTTGACTTAATTTGTATGAAAATTTTGTATGGTTGGAGATATATATGGTGATAGCCTAAACTTATGTGAAGATTTGACTGCATGAATACAGGGAAGGGAGTAATTGGGTGGGATCCGTTGGAAGAGATGAATGCGATGGACGATGATTTGTTCAGCCTGCTGAAACTTATGTGAAGATTTGACTGCATGAATACAGGGAAGGGAGTAATTGGGTGGGATCCGTTGGAAGAGATGAATGCGATGGACGGTGATTTGGTCAGCCTGCTGAACCATTTTCCCTTAGAAATGCCAATGCCTGAGTGGTACCGTAGAGGGGAGAGTCAGTCATTGGGACTTGAAAACCAACCCAAAGCCTCAACACCTGTCCCCACTGATCAAGAATCTGCTTGGACTCTTGGAACTTGCTGGAACAACATGCCTGGCATATGCTAAAAATAGCTTCTAGACAAACATTTATGCGTTTTGTAATCATTACAGAACCAAAATTAAGTTCACATAGTGAAGTAGATGGATGCATGCAAATTAAAACCTGGCCATTTCGTAAACAGTATGTTAGAATTTAGAGATATTGCGTTAGCTATAGCTAGGGTGATCCATGCACACAAGCCACTTTCCCCCTACCCCCTCTAAAACAACATGGCTTGCTGTGGGATTCAACTCTTTTCATTTGTAGTTAAATATTTTAGTGTTGTGCAATTAGAAATATAGTGCAAAGGTTTATAATCCTTGAATGCTTTGTACATATATATCATCATCAATTGCCCGATGCAAACAAACCGAGTTAATTGCCTATAACTTTGACAGATTCACACCAACGTTTTGTTTACGCCTGCCAACTCTGCACTTAATTTTAACTGTAGGGATCATTTTATTTTATACCTAAGATATTATGTTCCCCATCCACTCGTTAAAAAATGATAAATTATTTTATTGTAACCGTATTCCTAGCCCTAACGTAGTAACCTATTCATGGGTTTATAATAAATATTTTTTTAGTGAAGTTCTTATTTTTAATCACTTTTTTATTTATTTAGGAGACTCGAACATGAAATTATACTTAAAAATACATTGGTAGAAATAATATAAAATGTTTGTTTTTATGGTTTTATTTATGTAGTCAGATTTTTACCCATTCACGTGTTAATTATAAGTCTGTCTTGATAGGTGACTAATATTTAATATATATATATATATATATATATAACATTTTTACTGAAGTCTCTATTTCTAATATTTTTAATTAATTTATTTACGAGTTTTCGAACTTATATTTAAACATCCAGTTTCATTCATACTAACATAACATTAGTATTATGTAGCTAGGCGCTAGCTATATTGGATATAGCTAGGATATGACTTCTTTAGGTAAAACTAACATTTTTCATTATGCTTAATTAGGATTCAAATGAATATAATGGGTTTTTTTCTATTTGGGATCAAATAATTATTGATGACTAATTTTTTTAAAAAGTTTAACTGATTATTTTTAATAGATTTCTCTTCCACCAATTTTTTTTTTTACATTCACAGAGACTCAATTTACTTTATGTTATTTGAGTTCGAGTTCCACTCATACTATCAATATAATGATTTAAATTTTTTCTTGTTTGCACCAAGAAATCCCTATTGGATAATTAGAGGCTAATTCATCTCAAGGTGTTTCAATTAATAATGTTTTGTTTCTCTAAACATAGTATTGAATAATAATAATAATAATAATATAATTTATATTTTATATAAAGAAGGTTCTCAATCTTAATTGCTATATAATTTTATTTTTTTTCAAAAAAAAACCTGTTACCATTAATTTCTCATTTAATGACTAAATCAGAAATACAAAAAGGACAAAGTTACTTAATTAATACTAAATAAATTCTGTACGTTACATACACTTTTAATTGAAATTTTTAAAAATACTGTTAATTAAACAAGTCATTGAGTGCATGAATCAATTGACAAAAAATTGTTTAAGTTTAATTAGTAATTTTTTATTTGAACCTTTAATTAAATACGCAAATGTGTTAAATATTTGGAGAAATATATTTATTGTGTTTAGTACTCCCCACTAAACTCAAATATGATTGTCTTATGTGAGATTAGATGTGATTTATACAAAAATAAATAAATAAACAATATTAATAATAATTATAAAGTATATCTATATAATTTTTTTTAGTTCATAAAAATTATAATAACGATAACAATATTTAAATTTAGTATAAAAAATAAAGTTTGAAAAATATTTTTAAAAAAATAATAAAATATGCATTGTTAACCCTTAAAAATGGAAAGGTATAAATGAGACTTGACTATTTTTCAAATGAGTGAACTCTAATTAAATGCATGGGAAAAGATATTTATGGCAAAACGTAAAGATTTAATGCAAATAAAAAATTATTATTTTTAATCTAATTTTTTTTTATCTGTCAAAAAAAATATTTTTTATATAACAATGTTATTAATATGAAATATCTATTAATTTTGTCGATGACTAATCAACATTAGACTAGGAGTTTAACTGAACACTTTTAGTGTAACTTCCCTTCCTTATTATGTTTTTTCATTTACAAGACAAACTCAATATCTTAGTTAAGAAGATCGAGTCTAGTATCATTTAAAAAAATAATAATAAAGGATTTGACAATACAACAATATTTATTTGATACCCCTTACATCCCACAATAATTGTAATTTAAGATTTTTAAGAAGATTAATAAATATATCACTTTTTATACAATTTTTAAAAAATAACATTTTCTTCCAATAAATACATTACTTTGAATTGTGATGATTAAATAATTTGAGAGAAAATAAATTATAAAAGAGTTAACTAATATTACATTGAAAAGTGATAATATAATTTATTTTGAGACATTTTTCAAATATTAAAGCTAAAGTCATCATAAAACAGAAAGAATATATGAATTAAAATTTGGTCATAAAATAAAATAAAGTTGTATATATATAAGTGATTAATTAAATAGTTATGAAATAGTAATTGCTTTCCATGCAAGAAATTATTCATAAATTATTTTTTGCAGTCAAGAGAAATAGTTATCTTTTTTTAGTCAAAAGAAAATTAAGATTAAACTGATTTTACGTAAATTGAAAGTTATTTCCACAAATTATTCTCGAAAACATAGTAAAATAAGGTTTTCTTTACAGCAAATAAAATAGGTTTATTTTTATTTTTATTTTTTAAAAAATAACATAAACATATTATATATTAACTCTTTTCACAAATTCTCTTAAACGCATGCATAAGATCGAATTGTGATTAAATAATCCACATCGATAAACTATATATAAATAAATTCTAACACATAGCTTGTACTCAACACATCAAGGCTGGTTTTTCTGCATAACATACATCACCTTAAAAAATAATATCCATCAACGTGGTTGAATTCCATCGATACTAGCTTATAGAAAAAACTCAAAAAGGTTTAATACATTATTTAATTTTTTTAATTAAATATTTAAATTAAAAAAAAAGTATAATTAAATCTTTCATTTTTTTTATAATTATATAATTAAGTTCATGTAGTTAGATATATAATCATTTATAATCCGTAAAACTTTAGAATATAATTTTAATATATACACATACCAAAATTAATAACTATATTAAATTATTATTTTTGTGTCATCATCCATATAAATTAATAATATGTTATGAAATTTTATGAATTATAAAACAAAATTTAACTTTAAGAACTAAATTATAATGATAAAAAAAATAATTACAATTGTTTTAACTTAAGTACTTAATCGAAATTTTTAAAAAGTTCATAATGTATTAAATCTAAAATAAATAACCAACAAGTGAAATCCAAATTATACCCGATGTAATCCCGTGCTCTCTCTAAAACTGTTTGATTATATATGCATCAATTACTAAACAAACAAACATGTTCTCCAACTCAGTCGCTTATATTAATATATTTAATAATAAGAATATAATTTTATTTTTTGATGAACTAAAAGTTTAGATAAATTAAATATCGAATACTCTGATAGACTTAAAAATTTTATTTAATAGATTATTCACTAATAAAATCCTTGCATATGAAAAGAAATCAAATTTATGTCCTTTTATTCTTTTATAATATAAGTACATTCGTTTTTTTATTTTTTATTTTTGTTTAAATATATAAGTGCATTCTAATAAGAATATAGTTCTAAAAAAGAATATAATACCCGATTATTCTCGGAGTAGGGGTTGTAATTATATATGTCTCTGTTCTCAGTTTCTTTTCGTGTCACTGTAATTAAAAATCAAATAAAAGATAATTTTTTCTCTTACTTTATTATTGTTTTAAAGTACTGTCATATTTTAATTTAAACTACGCGAAAATGATATGGGAATAATTTATTTAATTCTAAAGAGAAATTATATAAACATGATAAACCAAATAGAGATACAAAACTGACCTAATATAATTCACATGTTTGATTATCTTCATCCATATTAAAATAATGTTTAATGATTGTGTGGTGATTATTAATTCTGAATATTGTGTGAATACAAAAATAAAATAAAAAAATCATCTTGATTACACGAATATTGCGTTGGATTCTCGTGATGTTTCTTGGTGAGAGTAAATCTCGTGACGATTAGTAATACAGAATAACTTAAACAATAAGTTTTGATCTAAGAAGTCCAGCAATTTATCAAAAATTATCATGATTAATCCACTTTTAGTGCTGACACTACTAAACTTTTAGATTGAATCTTTGTACTTTCAATGTCATTATTCCTTCATACCAAATTTAGGGATAAACTAATTATAAATGGCTGATCACTTTATCACGTACAATTCTAAATAATCTTTGTTCACCTTATTTCAAAATTGGAGTTCCTTGGATATTAGTAATTTCTTTGAATCGAGTTTTTTCTTCAATCACTAACTGTGAAACGACTCTAGATATTTGATTAAAAACAAAAGGTGATCCAAACTACTATATTACTACATTAAAATTAATTTTTTGTGACAATTAATTTATTATTTAGCAGTCATATAAATGAGTATTATTTTTTTTACTAACATTTAAATAATGGTTGGTGTATCCAGTGTCGCTAATATTATTACTGACATTTATATAAAATGCTGGTAAAGATCTACTAAATTGTCGAAAAAACTTATTTTTTCAGTGGTAATTCTAGTAGTCATTTTAAAGACTATTAAAAGCTATTTTTTTCAATTGTCTCCTTTACTTTAAATAATTTATTCCTATAATTTCTTTTTCTAAATTCATAACTTATATACTTTTTTTTTTAATCTCTACTCGATGTGGGATTTGTAAGATAAGGGTTGTCTTTTATTTATTTATTTTTTAATTTATTTTTTTAATTATCTTGTCTCTTAAGAGATGTGAGATTTATAAGGTGAAAGTTGCTATCTACTTGTTTTATAACACTATTGAATTTGGTAATAATGGGTGATTTGAACCAATTTAGAATAATGAATTAGGAGTCAACCCTATAAAATGAACCTGTAAGGTGATAGTTATTACTCACTTATATATTATTTAATTATCTTATCTCTAATCGATGTGAGACTTAAGTTTTTTCTAATAAATAATTGTCCCTAATAATAAACTTTAGTGTAATATAAATACATTTTTAGTGACTATTATATATTAGTCATTAATATTTTTATATATGGCAACAATTAAATTATTGTCATTAAATAATTATTGTTAATAACAAATTTTGTTGTAGTGGATGCAGATGAAAATTTTTTATTAAGAAAAAAGCTTTTGAAAGAATTTACAGAAAAAAGTATTTGAAATTAGTTTTTGCTTGTATAATTCCTACAAAGTACTTGTTCACCTCATAATTACTAGAATTTTTCTCAATAATTTTTTGTGTGTATTTTTTCAATTTATTTTAATAAATTTTATGATCACATTTTCTCACATAAACCTTGAAATAGAACTTATTAAGTAAATATTAAATTTAATTATTTACTCAAATACGTCTTAAATAGATTTTGTTTATAGTTATAGAATTTAAATCATAAATAGTTTATAATTAGAAAAATGATTGTAGTTTAACTACCAATAAATATAGAGAAAACTTTGTGATATATAATAAAATAAAGAACTGAAAAAGAGAAGGCTTGGTTCATGGTAACTAACTCTTCCCCCAATAATTGCTTATTAATTTCCCTCCACAATGACACTGGATAATGTAAATGTTGTGGGGTGTGGAGTAACTTTTTCTGCTTAATATACGGTTAAACATTTATAATTTTTTTTCTTTTTCACAAGTGACTAATCTCCTCTCAAAGGTGGAATAGCTGGTCCCAAAATTTAACGCGGCTGCATACATAAGGTAAGTTTTAAACCTCTGACCTTGTTTAAGTGTGAATATACCATTGAACCACACGCTTTGACTTTGAAAAACAAGTCATGTTACTTTTAATTTTATTTTATATACTTAAAATGGATAAAAAAAAATTTAACCGTGATTTGTATAAAATACAACCACGTAGATTGCATGAGTGAAAGTGTGAAACAGTGCATTTTATATATACTGTCATAACATGTGCAAAAATCTAAGGAAACTACTGAAATTCCGCTCACGCCTCCGCTTTTTAAGCTGATGATGCTCTGGACATGTAACCCTTGTGTTCCAAATAATATATAGGATATTATTTTCTTTTTAAATTTTCATATTTTACCTTTTTTGTGTAGAAATTTCTTTTAGAATTCACATTGTTAGATACCTCAGGATTACCCCCCTCCTTATAAAGATTAATTAAATTATTTTAAGAATAATTTTTTAGTAGAGATATTTTATTTAATAATTTTATATATACTAAATTTTAATTAAAAATTACAAGAGTTATATAGCTATAAAAACACATATTGACATGAAAAATAAATTGTTTTTATATTTTTTATAAAACCTTAAATTATTTGTTATTGTATTGAATAAAATTAATTTAATATAATATTTATTCCCACTACTACACGCGTTTGCACTCAAGTGTGTTAGATTAAAAGTTCAATCCATATAAATCATGCATAAAGTTCAAACCATATAAATTATATGCATAAATTTAACGCTGTGATTTATTGGTTTTAAATATATAATACCTTTATAAAGAATTGTACTGTATAGAATAAATTCATTCAGAGAGTTATGTGTGCATGTGATTAGAAACTCCTTAATCTTCCTTTATTTTCTTTTAGTTTAATAATTATAAATGAGTTATTTGTTAAAATCATTAGATAATTAGAAGAAAATAGATAGTAAGAATGAAGAATAACTCGAGAAAAGGATGAGATGTTATCGAAAGGATGAATGAAATGTCCCACTACGATGTACCAAATCTAAGTCTCTAGGTCACTTGTATATATATTACCCACAAAAAAAAAGAGACAAACCATACAATACAACAATCTCTAGAGAGTAAAATAGAAAGTTGTCAGAAAACAGAAGAAAATGACATTCACCTAACACCTGTGCTGTCATAGTTTATTTTGTGTCCCTCTGTCTTCTAGTTTTATTCGGTAATATTGTATAACCGTTGTGTAAAAGCAAAAGAAACAACAATAAACAGTGATCTTTGACTATAAAAATTGGATGTATTGTAGTTGAACTCATGGCACCATCGATGTGGTACTTGTCACTCCTCCTTCCAACCCAATTTCATTTTTCTATAAAATTCATTGATGTGAGACTTTTCACTCTTTTCGACCCAATTTCATTCCTCTGCAAGTCTGATCAATGTGGGACATTTCATTCATCCTTCCATCCCATTTTCATTCTTTTATTGATGTGAAAATGTTTTCTTTCTTCAATTTAACCCTCACAATCATTAGTAACAAATTTAGAAGAGGATCAATTGTGAGGAACATTCGGACTCACATAAGACAGCTTGTGAGTGTTTACTTGATTGAATTCTAAAAAGAGTTTGTTTAAATAGTATTTTTTTGTATTGCTTGCATCAAGAAATTAACAAATTAAAAATTATTCAGTGTTGAAGCCTAAAGAAGTTTATCCTAACTTAAAGTACATGTGTTTTATAACCTTTATTATAAAAAAAAAAGTGTTATCATCAATAAAATTTTTTTGGATCTTAACTTCTCTCTTTTTTTATTTAAATAAAATACATAAAAATGAAACGTCTCTTACCTATATATTAATCATGAATTTTGTAATATTTGTTGTAAGCACATAAATTTACTTGCACTAGTTAATGAAAGAAATTTAGAAGCTCCTTCACACAAATCAAATAAATATTACATATATTCCGTCTTCATGTAGTATAAAATAAACGATTGAAATAGGGGCGAGAGGTGAAAAATATTATGCACAAATTAATACGAGGGCATGATGATGAAGCACATTTTGATTGTCTAAGGACACACTAAGGCTTAAGTTGAATAACTAGTTTTCCGATATTAGAGCTGGAAAATAAGGAGTTCAAGCTATGGAGAAAGGTCCCAATTCCATGGTTTATTTTAGTCTTGGTCTTAATCTTCCCTTCTTTGATGTAGCCCTCCATCTCTTTTGCAAAATCACCGAAACGATTGAAATGAGTTTTCAGCAAAAAACCCTCCATTCTTACTTCCTTGCCTACCATATTCAAAAGATTCCTGATGCCTTCTCTTTCTGTCCAAACCTGCACCACAAGGTTGCTTATTGTAAAATCAATATACCTACTTAAGACCCATAGTTCATATCATCCTATCAAAATGACCTATAATCGGACCATGCCAAATTGGGCTTAATATATTTTGGACAAATATATTTGCCTATAGAAAGTATATGTTTTGGACTAATGTTTTGTTAACTTAGCCCAACTCAATGCAACTTACAAGTCTGCAAAAATCCTTTTTAAATATGCAATAAAAAAAGTGATCCTATAATTTAAATAAATGAGAATTGAAAACTTTAAGCAACTTGGTTTTAAACCAATGAAAAATATATCAAGAAACTAGCCTGTTTTCTAATTCATCTTTAATTTTTTAAAATTTAAATTAATATATTCATAGGATAACTAATTATTAATGTACAAAAACGGGATGAAAGTCTTATATTGAATAGAGTTGAATCTCATGTTTTCAACATTAACCCTTCTAAAATAAAATAATGTACTTTAATTAGATGAAAAAATCACTAATAATTATTAATTAAATAAATTGAATCCTTTCGTAACATTTTTTTAATTATATTATTATTATGAATTAACAGTCAACTTTGTTCATTATATATATAGACTTTAGAAACTATGTATATTGAACACGTGCGATCTACACTTATGTGATGAACTCTAGCACGACACGCAGTTAATTACCTGGTTATATTGAGATATCATCCCACAAAGTGGTATCCTGGCAAACTTATTGACATGATTCAGTACAGATTCAAGCATCTTGCCGCCAACATTGTCAAGGTAAACATCAATACCATTAGGAAATAACCTGCAAAATTCCAAGTTGTTAAGAGTCATAGATTTCCTTTATAACTTCCTACAATTCAAATATATAGCAATGTCCTAATTGGTGCTATAATTGGGGGGAAGGGGTTCCATTACTTGCTTAGAACGGCATCAAGGTCCGCTTCCTTATTGTAGTTGAATCCATCATCATACCCAAATTCCTCTTTAATTAGCTTCACCTAAGAAATCATACATCATATTTCAAAAATACCAGTAAGATTAGTCAACCATATAAATTCATCATATTCCCTTATTGTGGAAAATTTCCCCAACCAAGAATATAAATTAAATAATTTAAAAAGTAATACTTTTTCATCAGATCCTGTGCTTCCAATGACCCTACAACCTCTGAGCTTAGCCAATTGACCAGCAATCATTCCCACACCACCTGAAGCAGCAGATATGAGCACATTTGAGCCAGGTTTAGGGTCTCCCACCACCTCTATCCCTAACCATGCTGCAAACCCAGGTACTCCTGCAATGCCATATGCAAATGCATGTAAGCATGTGCATGGTAACATTTGTTTTTCCTAGTTTTGGATATTTAATTCTCATACCCAAAACAAAATATACATCGAAAATGTTGGTTCATCAGAGATAGAAAATTAATCCATTAATAACTCACCTAGAGAGCTTAGATAATCCGGCAATGAAATCCCACTTGCAGTATCAATTTTTGCAACTATCTCACTGGAGGACATAACACAATACTCAGCAACAGGAAAACTAGCACTCAAGACAAGATCCCCCTCTTTATATTTATTGTCTTTGGACCGTTTTACTCTCCCAATCCCAAATATTGTGATCACCTGTAATATTCCCATTACTAATCAAAATTCACAAAGTTTTGTATACGCTTGAATATGAAGTCCTATTTATCATAACTTCGTTAGTTAAATTGTAAGTTTCTAGGGCCCAAGCCATTATTAAAAAATATATACCTAGGTGTAATATATATATTGACCAAAAACAAAATGAGAAAATAGAATCACAAATTATTTTGTTGACTTTTATAATAAATAACTAAAAAAAATTATACTGACTTCATACAAGACCCCTCATTATATTTACTGTCTTTACAATCTTAACCAAAATTACTAGTTCTAGAATTATGAATTTATGATGATTACATGCGTTAATATACCTGATTGAGTTGAAACTGTGGAAAATAAAGTCCATCTAAGGTACCAGTGAACCTGCCACGTAGATATGGATCTATAGAGAAAAGCAACATCTCAACGGCAACATGGGCATCAGGGATTGAATCTGGAGCGAGGGATAGACGAACAGTGCGGAGTTTAAGATGATCGGAAGTTGGAACACCGTGTGGAGCATACGATACTAAGTACCATTCTTTGCTTTCCACCACCAACATTTCCTCTTCAACAGTGCTTTTCACCTCTTCACCCATGCCTCTCTCAAGTCTCAATCTTTTCTTTTTCTTTGCTAAAGAATCAACAATGCACTCTCTCTCTGGTTTTCCCATTCTGGTATGAGAACATGTTCCTTTTATAATGAAATATAATTCTCACGTACAAGACTAGTCCCTCTCCCCTACCTAATAATATTGAATACTTTGTGGGAAAACGGGGTACAGGTCTACGTAGCCATAATTTTATTCCATCATTTTTTTTATATTAAATTAATATATGCTCATAAGTTGCCTCAGCTCAATATCTGTCAATGTTTGTGAACAATTTAAATCCTGGTTCAGTTTTCATCATTCACCGTTAAAAAAGTGTCATTTTTTTTTCGAATTTTCTTAAAAAAAATATTCCTAAAATTTTTTTGCAATAATAATTTTGCAAATTTTTTTTACAAATTTAGTTGTGAAAAATAATTTACAGATATTTTTTACAAAAAATAATTTACAAGAAATTTTTGTTATAATTTTAATGATCATAGAAATTTTTTTTCATGGTAAAAATTTACAGAAAATATTGTAAGAATTTTATTTTGTTTCTTACAAAAATAAATTCGCAAGTAATGTTTACTAAATGGTAGAAAAATTTTGCAGGTAACTTTTCATGAGGATTTTCTTACCAATTTTAATCCACAGGAAAAATAAAAAATATTTAAATTTATAAGTTTAATATTTTAAAAAAAACTTCAAGTCCCACATCGATTGAAAATAGGACAACTAAAGAGTATATAAGTTGAGGTAACACTTACCTTACAAGTTGATTTGTATGGTTAAGTGTTACGCTTATAATCTACAATCTTAAAATTTAAAAGATTATTTATCACATGTTGGAGGTTTGGAAACAAATATTTTGAATGAATTCATTATGAACATTTAAAAATTGATAGAATTTATAGTAATTTTTTTAATTTTTTTATAAAAAATATTCACAGTAAACTTTCTTGCGAATTTTTTTTTGCTTGAAAGATTCCTGCAAAAAAAATTTCGCAAGAAAATTTCTTGCAAATTTTAAAATTTACAAAAATATATTATCTATAAAAATATTACATGCTGTTAAAATTTCGCAGAAAAATTTGTAAAAATAATATTTTCCGTAAATTTTTATAATTTTCAGTAGTGATTGATGCTGGCAATTTATTAGCAACTTTACTTTATAATTTTTTTAGGTTGATAAAAAGAAATTTACTGTTTTATCTTAGTTACTGCACATATCATACCGTGTCATATCATTCTCACAAATCAACGGTGAGGAAGACCACTGACATGTAATAATTGATTGGCACTCTTAGTCTATCCTATGCTCATTTTTACCTTTATATTTTTTTTACTTATTTCTGCACAATTTTTTTTAAAAAAAAGGAACAACTAAAAATAAAGTTATATTTTTATAATTAAAAAATAAAATATTTTCTGTAAATAAACAAGCTTTTGGTTAATGGCTGCTATATGCAACTCAAATTAATGCAATTAAGTATATGCTAAAATTAATTAGCGCCAACTTTAACTGAAATTAAGGTCACCATTCCTTTTATTTTTTTGTTTTTGGTTCTTCTTAACTGAGTTGCCTTAAGGAATTAATATGTAGGATTTTTTTTATTAAAAATACATTAAATTATATTGAAGATTAAAGAATTTTCAATTTAACAATTAAATTTATAAAATTTATATTTAATATAAAGTTATTAAGCAGTGTAATATTTAATAAAAATTATATTAATATTCCTTGGTACATGACCGGGATAAATATAGGGGACTTGCGCATATTCTTGTTTTTTATTATTTAATTTTTAAAAAATATTTTTAAATTCAAATTCATGCATGCCTATATCTTATATAAAATTGATATTGTGTGTTTTTTTACTTGATCTTTATGTATCTGATTCGATTTGTCAATATGACCATGTATCTTCAAATTTCTCTATGCATCTTAAAACTGAACATAAGTATTTATGGATAACTTATTTAAATAGAATTTAAGTGAAGCAGTCAGTTTGCAAACATCCAAATAATCTTCTGCATAGAAAATGGGTTAAAGACCAAAGAGAAAAAAAAAATGTCAACTACAACTCTTCATGTAACAACTATGGAAAAGGTATAAGCAGTTTAATAATAAAGTACAAGTATGCTTCAAAAAAAATAATAATAAAGTACAAGTATATATTTTATTACCATACCAGTTGCTTCACAATAATTTTTGCGCTAGTGCGTTTCTGGCGTGAATTAAACCTTATTAATATTGGTGTGCTTGTTCTACCTAATATATTTTGAAAAAAAAAGTCTACATAATTTTATTAAGTGGGTTTTCACTCTCATCCTCAATAATCAGTTGGGATGTTAACGGAATATTTTTTTTCTTAAAAAAAAAAAAAAGAAAACTAATTTAAGTTTTTCTTTTGGATACAAGGTAAGGCAGTTGTAAGTGTCATGACATGAACATTAAAATGGATTGTATTTAGTTCACCAGTTGCAAACTAAAAGCCTAAATTTATTTTCAAACCATTTTCCTTTCACTTCATCATCAATATATGTCATGAGGATGAGATGAGAGGCGAAACTAGTTATAAAAATTGAAAACTTTCATGATGCAAGGGGCTAACAAGTTCTTTTTTAGAAATTTCAAATTCTTAAATAAAATTTATATTCAAATATATTTTTAATCTATATAAAATGAAAAGGTTTAAATTTGTGTCGCTATAAAAAAATTTATTTATTTTTCATTCTCCAAAATTTAAAATCATTAATTTTGATTTTATAGTAAAATACTTTAATCCCTATAAAATACTTTTATTTGATTTTCATTCTTCCAAAGTTTAAAAGTACTAATTTTAGTCTCTAAATATTCATTTTAATATAATATATATATATATATATATATATATATATTTTAGTCTTTATTTATTTAGATTCCATGAAAATCTTTTGAAGTGTCACATATTAGTATAACACTAGAGATTCTAGTTAGTGTCACCTAAGATGATCTCTTGATATTTTATTCAACGTATAGGTCATTAACAATATCACATAATTGTAAGGATTAAAAATAATAATTTTTAATTTTAGATAATACAAGTTAAAAAAAATATTTTATTGAAATCAAAATTAAAACTTATTATTTTAAAAAGAATAAAAATATATTTAAATAAATAATAAGTAATGATGATGATAAAAACATACCATATATAAAAATTAAGTTTCAAGTTAATTAGAATCATCAACCACTCTTTATTAAGTAACCCAAATTCTACTTAAACATTAATCACATTTCACATAAATAATTACGTTCATATTTGGTCTTTGACTCTTTATACGAGTTTACAATAAAGGATTGAAATACGGAACACAGTTCAATATCGAGTGCTAAAAGATCATGATCAAGCATACAATAGGAAAGTTGCACATTACAAGGCTAGGCCTCATTAACTTGAACAACAACTTTTCCAATATTAGAGCTAGAAAAGAGGGAGGCTAAGCTATCCAAGAAGCTCTCGATTCCAACATTAATTTTATTCTTGGACGTAACCTTCCCTTCTTTTATGTATCCTTCCATTTCTTTAGCGAAATCTCCAAAACGATGCCAATAGGATTCCAACATAAAACCCTCCATCCTCACCTCCTTCCCTACCATATTCAAAAGATTCCTCACACCTTCTCTTTCAGTCCAAACCTACACCAACATTAACTATTACTAATTATTGAAAATCATCCAAAACTAATTACGTATAAGATAAACTATTCAGTTAAACAATAATATAAATTTCCAATATAGAAAGCCCAATTTCACCTTATTATATTGAGATATCATTCCACAAAGTGATATCCTTGCATGCTTGTTGACATGGTTAAGTACAGATTCAAGCATTTTACCGCCAACATTATCAAGGTAAACATCAATTCCATCAGGAAAGTATCTGCACAATTATTATATTAGAAAAAGAAGAAAAAAATTGAACTAGATTATTATAATATATATCCTTTAATTTAGAGCATGCAAAATTATTTCAATCTTTCAAGTCACAAATTTATAGTTAATAAACATTCATCTGAGGTAAACCGAGTGTTTGTGCATGGTTGCAGTATCAGAGGGAAGGATTTGTTGAATGAAAAAGAAGAAAAGCATCAATTTGTTCCTTTAAAGTATATGTGTTAGTCCTTCAAACTTTATAGGCACCAGACTCACCACCAAATTAGTCTTTTACATCCTCAAAAATATCCAAAGACTTAATGTGTCATTCAATAAGTTTGCCTATAATTTAAACTGGCATCATATTGTTCCTTGAAGAATACTAAAATGATTAAAAAAAGAAAGTTAAGATGTATTATTTGGTAACATATTAATTCTTTAAAATGAAAAAAAGTTATAATGAATAAATATTTTAAAAAATAAATTACGTTTTAGATTAATGTTAAACAATTATATTGTTCTAACGTAGAGAAAAAAAAAATGTAACTGATTTAGTAGTCCAGAACGGGCCGTTCCAAATCTGGAACGGGCCGTTCCAAGCTATTAAATTGAACTAAAAATCGTAGTTGAGAACGGGCCGTTCTGGTTGGAGAACGGGCTGTTCCGGAGGGAGAACGGGCCGTTCCGGATGAGCCCCAGAACGGGCCGTTCCGAATGGAAATTTTGAACGTGATTGAGGGGTGCAGAACGGGCTGTTCCGGTATCGGTACAGGCCGTTCTGGCCAATCCAAAAAGTCTATAAATAGGGGTTGGGGGCCTTCAGGAAAATGTGAGTTTTTAGAGAGAAGTTTTAGAGAGAAGGTCTCTGGGTTAGTAAGCTCCTTTCTCTCTCAAATTTCCCTGTTTGACTCATTTTCTCCTCTAAACCACTAATGCCTTCTGGCTTTTCTTGAAATTCAGATTATAAAGCTTGCTTTGGGAGGATTGAAGTTCCGGGTTGAGCTTTGGAAGAGAATTCTATTTCGTTACAGTTGTTGGCTATTCTGAGCCAATCTTCAAGTGAAGGAAGCTAGAGTGTAGAATGACTAAGTTGTTTTTATGTTGTTTATTGTTGAATTATTAATAAGTTGAGATGTATAAGTTGAAGTAGTTTATTGATGTAAAAGTTGTTTAAAGTTGTATATGTTGCCTATTGTTGAAAGATGCTTATTGTTGTAAGTTGCTTCTTGTTGTAAGATGTCTATAGTTGTATTGTTGTGAGTTGCTATAAAGTTGTAAGTCGTCTATTGCTATAAAGTTGATGTGATGTCTATTGCTAAAAAGTTGTATGTTGTTTAAGTTGTTATGCTTATTAAGTTGTTGAGCTGATATATGTTGTTGATTTATAAGCTGATTAAACTGTGATGATAAGTTGTTGATCACTAAGACTAGGGAAGATGTTTACGAAGTTTCTCATCCCATTGTGTGGAGTGAGATAGTTGTGGTGCTCAGAGAGCCCAATTTGTTGAAAAATCCTCCTTGGGAAGTTGTCCCTTGGAGTGGATGTTGTATTGTTCTCCTCTAGGACTTAGTTGATCCCGTGTGTGGGCAAGGTCGAGGCACACGTGTACAAAGCGACCACAGTATAGGGGCCAGGCCGAGCTATACTGATTACAAGCGGACAGAAGTTGAGATACATAGTACTAAGGTGATAAGTTGAAAGTTGTTTTAAAGTTGAAAGTTGTTTTAAAGTTAAAAGTTGTTTTAAAGTTGAATCCCTTAGTACTGTGTGGGCGACATGGAAATAGTCGATCCATATCATGGTTGAATGACCAATTTGAGTAAGGTATCTAGTTAGAGATGCAGTCTTTGACTAGATACTAGAGGGTGCGTGGTACTTAGAGGACAGTGGGTGGGCTAACTCCACATGTGGATTGGTGAAGCTAGCCAAGGTCGTGGTAGGCTCATACCCAAACCCTTCTGTCCTGACAGTAGTACTGGACATCCGAGTCTAAGTGGCACACCTGAGAAATCAACTATTGTTGTCTATACCTGGTTCTCTTCGGAGTTCCCAAAGCTATTCTATACCTAACCTGGTGGAGATAGGTCAAACGCTGGGTTCGGTAGGGTTTATGCCACCTAGACTGCTCAACCTCAGTTGTTGGAGATCTTCCAGTTGTATATGCGTGACGACGTATTAAATATTAAGTTGTATATTGTTGTTGTTGTAATAAAGTTGCTTCTAAGCTGTATGAACGAGTTGGGTTTTATGTTAAACTGCATGGTCGTTTGTGATGATGATTATTATGTATTTATTGCATGATTGTTAATATGATGAAGTGTGTGGTGTCTTGATTCATGATTGATAGTTGGATGATGTGTAGTATAGTTTTATTCTGTACTTGTATGATTGGTTTTGAACTCTAGCTTACCCTCTTGTTTCCATGTGGATGGACTGCGATGATCATACCTTGTATGGGAGCAGGTCAGGGCCAGCTTGGAGTTGAGGTGACCGTTGCGAGACGGGGAGTTTTGATCCTCGTGTTAGAGTTATCACCTTGGGTAGCCGTTTGTGCTTGACCGACACTAGGAGATAATATTTTTGGATAACTGTATAAATACCTAATACTTAAAAATTTAATGATTCATATATTTTTTTTTCATGTTTTTTGTATTTATAAGCTATCAAACTTTATTATTTATCTTAGTTCACTGGTAGTAGTGCGATTCCACTAAGTGTAGAGACCATGACGGGTCGTTACAATTGTGATATAAAATTAGTTTAACTATTGATATTTAAAAAAATAAAATTCAATTTAGAAATAAAGATTAAAATAATAAAGTGGAAATAAATATATGAAATTAGGAAAATAACACATAAAAACACTCATAAAAGATAAAATAAAAATGCTTTTATTAATTGAAGAATGTTTATAAAAACCACTCTCATTCAAGAATTAAATTCTTTAAGAGAATAATTTGATGAGAAAATTTTCAAACTTTAAAGTGGTGATGGGAAAAATTAAATGGTTAATTTAACAATATTAAGAAAAACAAATATGAAGACACATAATTTTGATGAATCAAATAAAGAGTTTACTCATTAGAAGGAAAAAAGAAATTACTTGCTTAAAGCCGCATCAAAATCTGATTCCTTATTGTAGTTGAATCCATCGTCATACCCAAATTCTTCTTTAATGAGCTTCACCTGAGAAACCAACCATTAAGCTATAAGTTGAAAATCTACAAGGTTATGGAAAGGGGGTAATTTTATTTTTGTATACTTAACTCTCTTTTTTTTACTAAATTCAAGCCGTGTAAGCTGCTGGTCATATAACAACTCATGTACTAAACTATACAGTAATGACAGTACAAAGTGAGAAAATAACAGCTACACATTAATGTGGAGTGAGGCTGGTGAGTAAGGATTATGAATTGTAAAATGTTAGTTTTTTACCCGTATAAAATGCTTGTTTAAAATTAGGATCAAAATTATGGATTAAGAATTAAATGAAATAAAAAAATGCAATTTAATTAATCAAAGTCAACAAAATGGATTTTTTTTCATATATAGAATTGGATGATGTATAACTTTTAAGCTAGTCAGTAGAAAAGTGAACAAGATTATTGCATATAATAATATGCAATTGAATAATAATATAAAAACTCTTTAAAAGTGTTGCAAAATTCATTTCTAATAAAAATTGTTATAAAAAAAAAATTTGATGTAACAGTTTTGATTTTTTCTCTAATTACAAAAACAAAATTTTGTAATGTATTAAGTCATCTCAATAGTAAGCCAGTTTGAGCTAATTTATCTGATTTTGATATTACTGACCAATTTATCCATAGTTATTTTCTCTTTTCTCAAGCTTATGTTTACATATAAATTCAAAACAATCTTGTTTTTTATTACATCAATCTTCTAAAAATAAATAATTTAATATTTATTTAAAAATTTGTTTTTGTGACAAATAAAACACAAACATATTCAATTCAAAGTGAGTGTGGGCTACCTAACTTGCCCGATTCGATGACAGTGCAGTACTACAACACGGGCCCAGAAAATAGGCCTGGGCAGGAAAGTTGGGTTTCGTACCATTAACTTTGAAACAAATTTCAATAACTGGACGAGGTAACAATTAATGAGAACCAAAAAAAGGAAAGAAAAATGTACAAGGTTACATCCTTTCATAGAGTTGTTTTATTTTATTTTTTTACGTGGAAATTAGGAGATCACGTGAGAAAAATAAAAGAACCCAAACGGACCAAACAAAAGAACAATTGTTCTGATCGTCTTAAAAAAAATTACACGCACAAAGATTTATTTTGAATAATAATTTTTGTAGAAACCCAGTTGAAAATTGAATGAAAAAAAACGTAGAGTTATAACTCAATTATTTGAATGGTTTATGTTCCGGCCAAAGGGTGGATTAAGATTTCTTCTTAGGTCAAGCCTCAAAGTCAGAGCATTCAAAAGTGTAATCTACCTTCTTAGCCTTAGGGTTTTGGGTCTTATACTTTCTTGTTCATGGGCCTCATAGGCCCCGTGAACGCGTGTATTTCCTTAACCGTTATTATTTGGAAGATATTTGGTGAACGCGGGGACTATACATCAGGTCCTGACCGACCCGACCCATACCGAGGGACTGGTCGGGTATTGGCCGAGTGGGATCCTATAGGTTAGGTGAATCGGGATGGGGCCGAGCTGGTTCACGCCAAAATGCCAGCTCGGACGTAGACCGAGTGACCCGAAGAAAAAGAGTCGGTCGAGGTCGTAGTTGGCCCATCGCCAAGGAGAGGGTAAGGTCGGATACCAACTAGGATTACAACCCGTGAAGGAAAGCAGATCGAAAATTGATCGAGAGGGTACACTTGCCTTCCAACCTTGAGCCTATGAGGCAAAAAGGCTAAAGCAACTCCCACTTTGAATCACATCGGAAATGGGCCGAAAGTATGTGTTGGGGATAAGCCGAGACGGTACACTTGCCTTCCAGCCTTGAGCCTATGAGGCGAAAAGGCTAAAGCAACTCCCACTTTGAATCACATCGGAAATGGGCCGAAAGTATGTGTCGTGGATAAGCCGAGATGGTACACTTGCCTTCCAGCCTTGAGCCTATGAGGCGAAAAGGCTAAAGCAACTCCCACTTTGAATCACATCGGGAATGGGCCGAAAGTATGTGTCGGGGATAAGGTGAGAATCATGTCATCATGTAGGATCGCGGTTTCCCAGAGCCTGATAAGACGTGTCTCTTCACCTTACTCGAGAAGGGACATGTATTTATTGCAAAGCCGGCGTTGCAGGGGTGCGAATAATGATTGTGCCACGTGGTGGCGCCTGTTACTAAAGTTAATGGTGTGGGTCCCCCCTCCCCTTGGGTTAATGGTTGCAACGTCTCACGCGCGTTGCGACCCTTGGGTCTCCCCCCCCACGCGCGTCCCTTGCCCCCCCCCCCCCTACACGCGTCCCTTGGCCTCTTATAAATAGGGGTGGCCTTTATTTCTTTTAACTCCTTTGCATTTCCTTCTGCTTGCATTCTCTTCTCCGGTGGCCCTCACTGCTCCGTTTTGAGCTACGGTGGTGCACGATGGTGTACGACGTTTTGGTGGCCTTTTGTTGAGTGTGAAAGAGTTGTTTTTGTGGCTTTAGGTACGCCTATCTAACCTGCTTGGCCCTTTTTGTTTATAGAGAAATTTTGGTTCCCCCTTAAGTTAGAAAGTTGGGGATCTTTGTTCAAATGGCAACCTTAAAATATGGAGAATCATATAGATGGGTTAGGGATGATGTGCTCCGTTGTGAGTCTTCAATAAACTCTTGGGCGGCCATGGATAGTTTTTGTAGCGAACATGTAGTTTGCGGCGAGGGGGATAATCTTATTGTTTGTGAACCTTGCATAGACAACGAGCCTGTATGTGTCAGGGGGTCCTACCGAGCGCTTTACCTTTTGCTATGCCACTTTGATTTCTAAACTTAAGGCGAGATGGCCTCTGACTGATTGTGAGAAAGGGGTGCTTCAATCATTGAACGTGGCCCCCACTCAGCTTCACCCGAATAGTTGGGCCTTTGTTCGTGGGTTTGAGGTCTTATGTAACTCCTTAGGCATTATCCCGACCTCTGAAAAAAAATTTACTTCTTTGAGGGCCGAGTTACCAAACGGAGTAGTTGGGTATCGGTCCACGGGATTTCTGGTCGGGGTCTCCTAACGTTATTTCAGTTGTCCTATAAGGACTTTAAGAGGGCGTATTTCCGGGTCCGTTGCACTCCGGGTAATGAGAGCATCCTTGAAGGGTACCCCCTATATTGGAGTCAGCGAGCCGTGTCGTATGGTGGGCTCCAAGCTGAGAAGTTCTCCGAGAGAGACCAGGAGGAGATAAAAAAAATTGAGGATCTCAAAAATATTTTCAACACCGCCAAACTTTTTGATCTAGAAAATAGGCCTAATGAACTGAAAATCTATATAGGTAATCGATTTCTCGCCGATCACCTTATGAATTGTTTAAATTACGCTGTTTATATTCATTTTTCACTAATGCTTAGTGTATGTTGATGCAGAGAACATGGCCAGCATGAGCAATCGGGAGTTGAGGAAGTTGTGGAAACTGCAAGAGGCCTCCAAAGAGGTCGGGGCTGTGGTGGTCGGTGAAAAGGCGAGAGACGCTGGGGGCTCCCTCCCGAAGGGTGTGGTCGGCGAGACTTCTCATAAGCGTCGCCGGGAGACCGAGGAACCTATTACCCTCGTGAACCTGGAGACCGAGATCGGGGGAGATGAGGTCGAGAAAGACATAGAGGTTCAATCGGCCGAGCGAACCATAAGCATGTGCATAGGTGAAAATTGGGAGCCCGTAGACCATGGAAATGAGCAGGGGAGAGTCCCATCTTTTTGGGATGAGAAGATCAACCATTCCTCCCACATCCGCCAGACCGATGTGCTGGAAGGGGACAAGGGCGACCTAGAGAAGATGAGCGCCTTCTATATTGCCAAAGGTGTGGAGTCTCTGACGAATAGTCTCTCGGCCTTGTCCCTCATTAATGAGGATAAAATTCGTGGGATGGCAAGGGAGATCAAGTTGCAAGGGAAGAAAATCAGTACCCTTGAAGAGAGTGTCAACAAAGGTAAGGCTGACTTGAAGTGGGTTGCCAAAGAGCGGGATAAATTGCTAGAGGGCCGACGTGCCTTCGAGGAGGATCGGAAAGCTTGGGCGGTCGAGAAGTCAGTGATGGAAAAGGATCTTGAAGAGGCTCGCCTAGTGCGAGAAAAAAGTGCTGACGCCACTCAAGTCCTTGAGAATGAAGTGGCAATAATGAAGGCGGAGATCGAGAAGTTGCAATCTGACCTTCATGCTGTCAAAATGGACTCACTGAAGAAGTTCACGCAAGGCTTTGATGCTGCCACTGCTCAAGTGAAGTTTTTACACGCCGATCTCGACTTTGAAGGCATTGGCTATTTCAAAGAGATCGTAGATGGGAAACTCGTAGACCCCCCCGAGGACGACTGAGTCTACTTTGCAACCTCCTTGCTTTTTGTATAAGCTTCTGCATATGTTTAGTTTTCTAGTCTTAATTTTCTAGGTTTACTAAAGTGTGTAACTAGTTGACTTTGGTGTTTGGAAAATTTGATGTTTCTTTCTCTAAGTCTTGCTTATGTGCCTCATCGCATCGTTTATTTTTGAACTTTAAATTAATCAAGCAAACTTAGACAATGACTAAAATTTTCTAAGTTGGAATGAGCGTTTTCCAAGCTAACTCGCCCAAATCCCGACTAAAGTAACGAGGAAAATTGTTTGTCAGTTAAAATGAGATTTAAAATCAACTCACCCAAATCCCGACTAAAGTGACGAGGATTATTTTTTCTAAGTTAAAAAGAGATTTAAAATCAAGTCGCCCATATCCCGACTAAAGTGACGAGGGAAATTTTTTCTAAGTTAAAAAGATCAAGTCGCCCATATACCGACTAAGGCAACGAAATTTTTTTTTCAAAGTTAAAAAGATTTAAAATCAAGTCGCCCCTATCTCGACTAAAGTAACGAGGAAAAATTTTTTCTTTTAAAAAGATCAAGTCGCCCCTATCCCGACTAAAGTGACGAGGAAAATTTTTTCTAAGTTAAAAAGATCAAGTCGCCCTTATCCCGAGTAAAATGACGAGGAAAATTTTTTCTAAAAAGATTTAAAATCAACTCGCCCAAATGTCGATATGAATTTTACGCGTT